CCCCACAACCACCCCTCCCCGTGCCCTATCACCCATTCACCAGCACATACTTCTTCCCCACACCCGGACACCCCAAACCTCCGACACCTCCCCAACACTCCCCTTCAACCCCCTTCTCCCCAGCCCACCTCCCCAACCCCCCCTCCTCAACCTTGTCCTCGTCAACCTCCCCACTCACTGCCCAAGCCCCTCAGCCCACCTCTTCATCGTCCTTCTCCCCAACCCCCTTCCCCAAACTCCCCCTTTATAACTCCGCTACCCCTCAGAACCACCCTGGTTACCACGAGGCCCGGCCTTTTCAGATGGTCTGACGATCGGATGGCCAAAAGTGGTATTTTTCTGTCTGCAGGGTTGACTCCATAGTTCAGGAGGTCGTGGTAGTTTCTACGAAGTTACAACTCGTTGAATTCACAACCACCTCTTGAACCAACTCAATCTTGTGATTGCATGATGTGTTCTCTGTGTTTTCTTGCAAAGTACAACGAACAATCCAATGAGAACACAAAACTTTTGAGGTGCAAAAGCCCACGGAAAACCAATCATGAATAAGCCAAGTTGAAAGCAGAATTACAAAGCCGAGTGCACACCAAATCAAGAACACACTGAACACTGAAGTCTGTTGACAAGGAAATCCCTCTTCGGACCTTGATACACTATCCTACTCCCTCTCACTCATTTTTCACTCTCCTCTCGCCACATGTTGCTGAAGAGTTTGATCACATGAGGTGCTCCTCGGACAACATCACGTAAGCGTCTGCCTGTTCCCACTGTCGTCCTCCTCTTCCCTTCTACCCCGACCATCTCGTCACCCAGTTCCTGCTCAATGGCCTAGAAGCTACTGCGGGTGCTTTCTTCTTTCTATCGGGCTCTTGCTGAGTGCACGTGCTGCTGCACGCTGCCACAGTCCGAATGTGTCATCTGACCTGGCCTCTCCTTCTTTTGTTCTGTCCCAGCCCATGTAACTACCCCTGGGTAGTTACCTGGGCTGGGCTCCAATCGAGGGGCCAATTTCTTGCCCAGATCACTTAGGGCGCACCAATTTTCACGGGCGGCCTCTTATGAGGAAAGCCAAGGCCTGTAGACTCACGAACATGTTGACGAGTATCCTTCGTTTTTCTTCTTTTTGGCTGAAAACTTTTAGACAACTTTACGCTTGCTGGGTGTTACGTCCATAATTCTCTGGTGTTTCTGAACATTTTTCGGAATCCATTTTTCACTCATTCTATATGGCATTCTACAACTCTGTCGCTATGTTCCCCGGGGTGATACTTCGCGGTTTGGAATATGCATTGTGCGCAGAAAGGAGCAACAAATCAAAGAAGCAGAGCAGGAGATCATGCAGATACAGAGGTCCATGGAACAGAGGCTACATGAGCTGGTAAGAGAAACACCCTCCTCTCCTCACATCTACATCCGGTCTCAGAATGGATCCCAGCTTGCGTACAGTTTTCGTCCTTGAAAAAACAGAGAAACAAATGTCTCTCATCTTCTGCTCATCCCTAAAGGAATCTTTGGGAGGAAGGAAGAGAGGATGACTGAGCGTGGGGGGGGCAATAATGGTGCACGTGGTGGGTGGGGAGGGGTTGACCTAGTCCGCCAGTGGCACAAGAGGAGAAAGAGGAATGGACAGAGTTTTCCAATTTGGGAGCATTCAAATGGGGATATGATTTTTAGTTGGGATTCGATAACCTTTTTGTTTTGTCTTTTTGGAAAACGGACCATTTCGGACACTTCTTGATTTCTTTGCGTCGTTCTCGCAAAGGGACCACTCACCAATTTTAACAGATACCCAACGCTCTCTCTCTCTCTCTCTCTCTCTCTCTCTCTCTCTCTCTCTCTCTCTCTCTCTCTCTCT